CAGGCCCACCCCAGCAGCCCCCCAGCTGCTCTACCCCAGGCGTCCCCAGCAAAAGCCTGATATGCTGGGGGGGGGCGCACTAGCTGCGTCCCCCCCCCCAGCAGACCAGGGAGACGCTGAGCAAAGCGGAGGAGGACCCGGGCGGGACCGCGGCGCTGATCTGGCTCCTCTCCCCCACCCTTCCCCAGCAGACCAGGGAGACGCAGAGTAGTTTTTCTCGCCCCGGAGGACGTGGGTGGCGGGACCAGGCGTCCCGCCGCTCCCGTCGTCCAGGGCAAGAAAATCCCCGTTCGTAACTGTGGATCCGACATAAGTCGGATCCGCGTAACTCAGGGACTGCCTGTACTTTACTGGGCTTCACCCTGTTTTTACCACTGTAAGTGTTTCAACTTCTGTTAATAAGGTTTATGGTACTTGCTGCTCTTGAGATAACCCAGAGATGTAACCATGCAGCTGACAGCTGATTTTCATCATTGATGGTGGTTCCAGATAATTTTCTCTACCATACACCATAAAAAATCAATGGCGGAACATCATCTTGCGTTCTCCTTGATGGTCAGTGTGCAGAATTCAATACAGGAACTAAACATAGCTGAGCTGCAAGAAGGGTTTCAGGGGATGTTTTGGGGGGAACTACTTACATGGGGAAGGGACGTAATTTGAATTTGAGTCTAATGCAACTTGTTCTCGTACTTGCCTCACAGATAGCATGTTTGCAGAGACCATGACCTCCACCCACTTCAGTAGTGCACGACTGAGCTCTTGCCTTCCTCAAAGCAGTCATGATTCCGCCAACTTCAATAACAATGAACTGGAGAACAATCAGGTGGTGGCCAAAATTGCTAACCTAAATTTGAGTCGGGTGCCGGGACTGTCGGTGGATAACCACATAATCCCCTGTTGCCCAAACAGACGGCAGCGTACCCCGGGTGTGCCTGCCTTCCTGGATACAGATCTGCATTTCCACCTCACCCGCGGGCCTGATATTACCTTTTCTCAAGACCGCATGGTGGCATGTACCAATTGGCAAGAAAGCAATAGAACTTTGATGTTTTCTGACCGACCTTTGCACATTGGAGAAAGCCTCTTTGTGGAAATAGGACACCTAGGGCTGCCGTATCATGGGGCCCTTTCATTTGGCATCACTTCTTGTGATCCAGGTACTTTACGGACAAATGAGCTCCCAGCGGATCCAGACTATCTCTTGGACCGCAAGGAATACTGGGTGGTTTACCGAGCATTCCCAGCCCTCAGCAATGGTGATATCCTCACCTTTGTAGTCTTGCCAAGCGGAGAAGTGCACCATGGAATGAATGGAGTCAGCCGAGGGATGCTTATGTGCGTGGACACCTCTCAGTCTCTCTGGGTATTTTTCACAATCCATGGTGTAATCAACCAGCTCAAAATATTAGGTAAGTGCAGCCTAAAACTAATGTGAAGCAACATGCGTCTTGTGAAATTTCACCAAATTGTGTGCCTCTCTCAATTACACTGGTGACATTGGCTTCAAGAGCAGTGCAATTCACGATCTGGCCCCTAGTGAACGTGGTCAGCTCTGTCAAGCATTGAATAAGATGTGTGCCTGTGTTTATACATGGAAAGAAATGTCAGCAAGTATAACATAGGTATATCTGTCATTTATAAGGCCAATGGGTGAGACTTCTCATATTGCATAGGCTCATATTAAGCTAAATTGTATTGTAATGTTTTGCACAGGAGAATCTTTATAAACTCACTAGTCCTGCCAACAGATATTAAAAACTGAACTCACTAGGCACAGATGGGTTTTTTAAAGTAAGTCAGGTGGTTTAGAGGGCACATCTTTCTACTCCTTCTAGGTGCAATTTGTTCAATTAAATGGAGGCTTTTTCCAACTGTCAGCACTGGAAACTTGCTCTTTCCTCTGCACATCTAACTCTATTTCTTCTGTGTTCCCTACTGCCAACAAAGCACAGCGATTCTTGAGCCAGAACTTTGTGGCAGTTTCAGTTTGGAAGTGTAAGGCAGAAAAATGACACCCGTTCATTATTCTGCAGTTAGAGCAGGTGCTTCTAAGTGTATGTCTGCACTGTAGTCTAAGCCTGGGTTGCCCACCATCCAGGCATAAAAGTTTGGAGCATGTGCTTGCTTATATTTTGAACTTATGTTTGTTTGCCAGGTCGTGAGGTGAGGTAAAGCCCAAGCTATACTGTAGCATTGGCTGGAGCCCACTCACTTCGTAATAGTCAAACAAGATCACTTGAATACTGATAGTCCTCCAGTGCCTTTCCCACAGCTCCTTTTGTGAGATGAACTCGTTCTCCTGCAGTAGATGGGAAAGAATCCTAAAACATCTCAGCACAAAGCACCTTGTGCCACACAACACACACGAGGCAGTGAAGAAATAGTTTGGACATAGGAACAGGATAGGGTTTTGAATGGGGATGCTCATATTATGGCAAAGTGAACCCGAGTGCAAGTCACACCAAACCTAGTGTTAATCACCCAGGCAAACAGTGCAGTGTAGACATACCCTAAAACATCACCATGACTTCATTTGTTACTTTTGATTTACACCAGCTTGTATGAAAAGAGAATGAAGCCTTGTCATCAAGTAAAAATTGCCTTTGAAAAAAATGAGATCCTCATTTTTAGTAACCAAGTGCTCAGTTGGATATAGGTGCACGGTACATTATGTATGGTAGCATCACTGGGTGTGATCTGTGAGCACAGAATTTGGCCTGTGGACATTCCCTTTAGAAGCACAGAATAGTCAAAGTTGCACAGGGCCTCTAGTGAGTCATCAGGAGAGGGATCATGTGATAATCAGTGGGCCTCTCAGATGGAACGTTCCTCCCCTGCCCCACTATCTTGCCTGAAGTGCTTAATGCAGGAGACGCGCACTGAGGAGGCCTAACAGGCAGCAGGGTGAGCAGGCCAGGCATGGATGGGTCAGCCTGCACAGCGCATCTGGCCCAGTCCGCCAAGTAGCTCTGTGACCAAAGCCCTCTGTTGGGCTAGTCTAGGTTTGCATTTGTGTGCTACTGAATTTGGAGCAAGCACTTGAACCCAGGTCTCCACCTGCCAGGAGAGTGCCCTAATCAACAGGCTGCTGAGCGCACTGGGTTGGGGCTGGCTCAACTGCTGAAGATGTTGCTGCTGTTTAATTAGCTATTTATTGGAGCAGGGCTTTGAAGTTCTAGACGTGGGTCTCCCACATTGCAGGGTGTACCCTAGCCACAAGCTCTCATTTCACAACCTTTTGTGTAAGGCCCATTCCTGTAGACATTTCTCAAGCTTTTCTTCCACTGACATATTGCAAAATGGTCGTAGCTGAGCAGCAGTATCCCTTGTTGCCCTAAGCAGACTATTTAGTTTAAGCTTAAGAAGAAACGACATATCCCAGTACTCCATATATTGGGCTGCATTTTGATTATTACCCTAAAGCACCTTCCATGGAAAGATCTGTGCTGCAGTTCATTACACTTTTGCTTAGCTGGTGTAGCATTAAAATTTTTCCTCCCAGCTCCCAAGTGGATGAGGCTGATTGCCTTTGCAGAACTGGGGTAACATCAGGCAGCCAGCCACTGGCTGCTTTGTTGTCTTTGCTTGGAAAGATGTCCCTATTAAGGTAAACAGGGAGATAATCACTGCCTGACATCTCTCACAGGTGTTCCTAATCTGATCAGGAGGGCAGAAAACAGGCTGACTGAAATAGGAACAAGAACTGTGGTCACACTCTGGGCCGAGAGAGAAGTTCATCTTTTCATTTTATTGATTAAGAAGTGTTAATTTTATAACCCTGAACTCAGAAACTGAGTGTGTTTCCTTCCAAAGTACGATCTACTGCGTGGCACTTAGTGAGGCAGAGATGCTGCTGTTCAGATTATGTAGCACTGATAATGCTTAGGAGGTCCATTCCCCCCTGTAATTGACTGAATGCTGTTGTACTTGCAGGCACTGTCCAATCCAGTCCTGGAACAGTCTCTCCCTCAGGATCCCCTGGCGGCTCACAGTATGACAGTGACTCAGATATGGCCTTCAGTGTGAACAGGTCCTCGTCAGCTTCGGAGTCATCACTAGGTAAGGGAAGCCTTTGTGGTGTGCCCCTGCAGCTTGGAAGACACATGGTCATCGCCCTGATCAGGAAATAAACCAGGAAATCCAGCAAGTTGTGTTGCCTACCATAGTTAGAGTTACTGCTCTTTGCATGATGTGTGGAATCCAGCATCCAGACCTGGATTTCTCTAGGCAGCTCACTGGTGCAGCACACATCAATGCTTGTGTGACAGTGTAGCATGGAGGTTTTCAAGGATTGCAGAAGGTCAGGCACTGGGTCTTGTTGCTGTAGCAACTTCCTGCCTGTCCTGGTATTACAGATGGTGCTGTGCTCTGGAAGCAGCCAGCAGCAGGCCTGGCTGTTAGGTGAGGGTGGGAGGCAGAAGAGCGCACTAGGCTCCAAACCCACGCTTTAGTCAAATTACATTGGGTCGCGGCATCAACAATTTTCTTCAACTGGGTCATGAGAAAAAAAGTTTGCAAACGGCTAGCCTGGGGGTAACAAAGGGAGAAGGGCAGGACTCTGAGACCATGGACTGAAGAGCAGGAGCATTTTCAGTGCGGTTTAGTGGAACGGGGAGCCGGGAAGCACTGTTGCCAGGTCAGGGATGTGCATGGTTAACCAGTTACCCCATAAGCCTTAGTCTTACCGGATAGGTAACTGGTTATCCAGGCTGGGTGGTGGGAACCTGGACAGGGCAGCAGGTGGGACCACAGCGTTCCTGGTGGCAGCCCCAGCCTTGTGCCCCAGGAGGGAGGGACGGGGCAGGTGAAACCCCAGCCTGGTCCACACAGAGTAGCAGATCCAGTGGGGGCAGTCAGGACCCCAGCCAGCCTGAGCAGCAGCAGCCCCAGCCCTGCACCCCAGATGGAGACAGATGGGACCTGGGCTGAGCAGTCCCCTCTGTGGGATCACAGTTAACATTCTGTTTAGCTGACTAACTGTTTAATGGCTGTTTTACATCCCTACCTAAGATCTCGGGTATATTCTCGGTGACCCCATAAATCACATCAACTTATACTATGAACAGAAATGCAACTTCTGGTCTGCTGCCTAGGGTGAGCACTAGCCAATGTGTGGATAGAATTTTACACCTTGAAAACCCTGCACAATGTGCTATTGTCCTGAGCTCGGCAGGTTCCCAGAAATTTCTCATCCAGTCATGTAATTGGCAAATACTTGTGGCTGGAAGTAAAGTGCTGCATTCCCAGCCAGAAATGCGGCTGTTACAATCCGTCTCATCGCTGTACGAGAGTTGACTCTTAGCCACATTCCTTTGAGAGAATAGGGCTTTCGGAAAGAGCGGGAGCGATGTGCACCAACCCAGACCTAGAGTCCTGTGAATATGCTTCCCTCTTTAAACTTCATAGCAGCATGTGAATGGATCCACACCCTGTACTTGTAACCAGATGTGTAAACCACAGTCTGACTCTATTTGAATGCACATTTAAGGCAGGAGGTTGGAAAATGGATTGAAGTGGGCTGTGTGGCTAACACTACACTCTAACTATCAAACCCTCTTGTTTGATCGGTTCTTGCTATTGAATAACATTTCGTTCTCTCTCTCCCCCTTCTTTGCAGTGACTGCTCCGAGTTCCCCACTGAGTCCCCCCGTCTCTCCCGTCTTCCCTCCTCCAGAGCCCTTGTGCAGCAAGAATGGGGAGTGCACTGTCTGCTTTGACAGTGAAGTGGACACTGTGATCTACACCTGCGGACACATGTGCCTGTGCAACACCTGTGGTCTTAGGCTGAAGAAGCAACTCAATGCGTGCTGCCCCATCTGCCGACGAGTCATCAAGGATGTTATTAAAATATACCGCCCTTGACCCCGCCCTCCCTCTGGGCATGGGAGGAAAGAACTCTGCTAGCAGTAACCCTGCCTTTCCGTCCCTGCTTTTGGGTTACCATGCTGGTTGGTAGTTACCAAGTGGCTCGTTGTCTGTGTTTTCATATTTGACTGGTAGAATAAATCAGGGATAAAACTGAACTGAGGAGCTCTCTGGTCTGAATGGGGCCTGACCCTGACGCTTCCAAGTAGGCGGGGCTTCAAAAAGATGCTGCCCTATGAACCAGCCAGCAAATCGCTGTTGTGGGCCCATTCACACTGCAAAAGAGAAATGTATTGCACAACC